TTTTCTGGTATTTAGTGGTATATAATTACAACACATTAGAAGTTAAACGAAATAGCAATTGTCATTGAAATACTTTTATAATATTGAGAGTATAACTGTATAAATAATATTATAAATAAAATGAAATGTATTTATTTAATTGTATTGAAATAGGTTAATAGAAATATATAATTTGAGCGTAGCGAGAAAAATTTTTTTGGTAATTTAATTGGTAAATGGTGGGTGGCYTGGATAAATTTMAATCTGCCGGCCTGAATTTTTTTCCCACTCCGCCCCTGATAACGACTGACTTCCTACTTTGACCATAACATACATAATATGCATAAATAGTTATTTGTTAAAAATGTACATAGTCATGTAATATTGGTTTTATTTTAATATTAGTTTATGATTTTGGRCAAATATGACATTTTTATATATTATACCAATAAAAAGTGGTATCAGTCATCCTTAGTACTGTTGTACTCCCTTCAACCATCAAGATATATATTCAACCCAAGGTTATCCAACTAAAAATACTTAGAAGTTCCTCTTAATGAAAACTTATTTTATAATATACAAAATGTGTGATAAAAAAGCTATCAGAAAGAAAAAWTTTTGAGTTGTGTTTATGGTTAATAACGAGCTGTGGTTAATCAAATGCAATCTTACAATGAAAGTAGTATCTGAAGTTCTGATGATTAATTCATATTAATATCAAAATAATTAGAAATCAGAACTTTACAAATTATACTAATGAACTAATCACAAGTTAAAACAATATTAAYTACAACACACAATTGTTTAATTTAAGTGAGTATAGACATTTTGACAACACTAAAAATATACTCAACTATGAACTATCATGTTATTTATCATTTAAATAATGCACTAAGGTCTCCTTAAACTTTCAGTAGGTTGCATGAGATAAGCTCTACTTATTTTAATTTAATAATATTTTAGTTAATGTAGGTTAATTTATATTTGTCTAAAAAATAATTAAAATAAAATAATTATAATATTAAAAGTATTAATCAAAGTTTTTATTCTTTTGTATGTACCTACAGTAAAATTTAAAATGTTCTTTACTTAAGTACAATTAATATTATACATAAAAAAAAGTGATTTAAAAATACATACATATTGTGACAGTGTACTTATATAGTAGATTTAAAGAAGATTAATACTTAAAATGTTCAAAAGTGTATCTATTGACCTTGGAATAATTGGAAAAAAAATTGGAATATACTTTTGGTAATTATATTCATAGTTTAACAATATATAAAATACTCTAATTAATACAATAATATTTTGTCAAATATTTTAAGTTTTAAAACGTTAATTAACTAATAATCTTAAATTATACTTACATAGCTCTATGAATTAAGTACAAAAACGTCAACAATTTCGATTGAAGATAATAAAAACTATCAATGATTATACAATTCTGGAGTGATCCAGACTATTAAAAATTCTACATACCAATATTATGGCATAATACAAACAGATAGTTTTGTACATAAAAAACTACACACCATTAACTTATTTTTATACTTATAAGTTATCACTAAGAGCAAAATATGTTTTAGTTAAGTATTTTCTATCACAGAAACTTACCCTTTTCAATTTTATTGATGAAAACCTTGATAATGAATGTTCAACAAATAGTACACCAAAACTAAATGTGTTATTAATTGACTTTTGCAGTAACTAACTTCTCAAATGCAACATCAGTAGCTAAAGAAAAATAAATTATTGAAAATTGTTTAATATACATATTGTTTACCAACCATGTGGAAATATAATACAGTAATAATTATAAATTATAGATTTTCAGTAAAAATTAAGTAGAAAGTAATCCTTTTAACAGATATGAGAATGAAGTATTCTWACATGATGTTCATTACATAAATTGTGATAAAGAACAGTTTATCATTGTTATATGTTCTATTCATATCCATATAATAGCAATAATAGCAGAAATAATCAAATAGGTAAGATTAATAAGTACACTTTATACTGATTAATATTTTAAATATTTGAATATATCTGTATACTTTATATTGGATAAGGCCATATAAAATTATAGATATTTTAATGTTTAACAATAAAATATTAAAATTAACCAATGATAAGTTAAGTTGAAAAACTTCTAAAATAAACACTATTTATAATCATAAATATTTATRTATCAATTAACAAATATTTAAGAATAATTTATAGAAGTTATTCAATAATGTAATGAATAATTTAAAAATTAAGACTTTAGAAGGATAATAGATGTCACTCAGTCTAACAAGTTTAAATTAACTAATATTTGAAGTATTAAGTTAATTAAAAATTAAATCAGTTAATAACAAGAAAAAAATTTAAATAATAACTCTTAATTATTTTTATGTATTACCAAAGTAATAAATAAATAAATAAAGGTAATTTAAAATGGTTGGAAAATGTATTGAATACTTAGTTTAAGTGTTAGTAAATCATGTTTTTTTACCTTTTTTTGAAAGATCATTTACTGCTTGATCAATATCTCCTTGATGTTTTAAAAAGTATGGACGTATAAATCTATTGTATACAACCACAGAACCATTATTGCTGATTGGTATAAAACACCACACAAAAAAGATTGTCTGAGAACAAAATTATACCATTATTATTTGTTTATCTAACTTATTTTGTTTTTAATCATTAATATATTAAAGAAAAAATAGTTATTATATTATTTGGTTGAATGTACGTCATTATACTATACATTAMATATTAAAATTAAATTTAAAATGAATTCAACCAAATTAAAATGCATTTTAAAGGACTATAACTATATACAATATGTATAATTTTAAAATTGTACTTCCATAGTTTTTATATTTAATTATAATGACAAAAACTTACTTTGATTAAAGAATAAAATGGTATCCAGCTTAGTAAAATTGCAGCAGGTAATTCAATAAGAGTAATAAATGAAAATACCACCCAATATGTCAACCATTTTGTGTCATCATCTTTTCCACTAGATTCGACCGCTTTAATTGATGCATATGCAGGGTATAAAAAGCCGATCAAATTGCTTAACAATAAGGTTCCATATCCAATCAATAAGTAGAATGTGAGAAACACTGTCAAACCTAAATTTTTTAAATAATTAAAACAAAATAAAGAAAACACATTTGAAAAATATCTTCATTTTTTAAAAAATCTCTTTCTCTTTTAAGAATATTTTTTATAGAATCTAATTTAAATTATCTAAACAGAAAACATCCAATAAGTATATTATTATGTTTTATCTTCTAACCTAAAATGGCAACATAAAAATCATAAATCGTGATGAATTACTATATATTTTGAAATAAGAAAATAATATGGAGCAATTAAAAAATCTATTAATTTATAATTTGAAATGGCAATATTGTAAAATGTTACTTCATAGCTTATATGAATATTATTAATATTATTTATAAAACATTAATTAATTATTATTAATTTATCAACAGATAAAAAGGTTAAATACTTACCAACTTAAAAGTATTTTTATTAATTACATTAATTTATAAAAACACAAATTGTTGAATTTAATTAAGGAAATTTAAGTGTGTAAAAAAAATGTTTTTAGATTGATATAAGTTCAGTTCAGCAATATACATATTTATGAATTATTAATACTACATCAACTAAATTTTAAATACCTAATGAATATTATACCAAGTACCTGTGATAGACGAATCAATAAATTAATCAATAATATAATCTTCACCTAATATATCATTAATATAAATACAGATTGACTCAATATTAGTATARAATAAAAGAAATCAAGAAATGCTATATGTATATAAATCAATACTAATTGCCTAAGAACGTTTGATAACTGTATATTATTTAGTTATAAGTTCAGAAATATAAGCATCAATTGAAGTATTAATTATTGTTAGTAGTTACTAGTTAGGTACATAAGATAATTTTAACTATTTAGACAATACCCGAGTTCAGGTATAACATATCTTAGTTATAAATTATTTCTAAAATGGTAATGATAAGTATGATTTAAATTCTTAATAGTTAATAGTATTAAAATAAATATGATAAATTGTTATTGAATAATGATTAATATTCACTGAAAAATAAAAACTATGATTGGACCTATTTTATTTTATGGAGATTAAGATTCAAATTAAATTAAAAAATTAATCATCCTTTGTATTGATTGGACATTTAAACTTTAACCTTAAACAAATTTTAATGTCATATAAGTCTGTTTGTA